CACCGGAAGTAGGATTGCCCAACCTTCCTTCCGAGGAGTGGCTGGTGGGTTTGAACCGCCAGCCTTCTGGTTAGCAGTCAAGTGCCTTAGCCACTTATCTAGAAAAGGTAAATATATAAAAACCACAGCTTATTAGTGGTTATCAGTAGTGGGAGGAGAGAAGGGGGACTCATTGCTAAGGAGGCACTAAGCTTCTTCTATGGATGATGGGAAAATTTAGAAATGGATAATGGTGATGCTTGCACATCAATTGATGTTACTAAAATGTAAGAAATTACAAATATTTTGTTATATATATTTTTACCACCAAAAGAAAAAAAATTACCAACCTCAATTGTACGGAGAGATACAAAATTAAACAAGGTATCATCTGTTGTTCATCAAACACATTAAAAAGTTAAAATATTAATAGTCACTATTAGGAAGGGTAGGAAGAAACAAACTTTCATATACTATAAGTATAAATGTAAATTAGTAGGACAGTCCCTTTGGAGAGTAATTCTTTACAATCAATCAAATTTAAAAATACATATGTCATATGACCCTGACTCTATCTTGCATAAATGTTCAAAGTCTCACATCTGAAAAAAAAAAATTATGAGGTTTTTTACAAAAATATTCTTTGTAATAGGAAAAAACTGGAGAATGTAAATTATTGCTTCATGCATACAATGGAATTATTGCTACATCCATACAATGCAGGTGTTAACAAGAATGAGACAGAAGTAAATACATGTAGACAAGGAAAGACGACTATTATGACTACCCTATTGATTATACAAAGATGAAAAACAGTATGTGTACCGTCATCTCATTTATTTTTAAATAAAAAGATGTGCATATATAAATTTGAAAGTGCACCAAAAATGTTTTGAAAGGACACACCAAACTATCAACTCTTATCTCCAAGAAGGAAAATGAGATGGTATTAGAGAAAATGAAAGGAGATACTTTATTCTATACATTTCTGTATTCTTTTTTTAATGACAAGCATGTATCACTTTGTAACTAATATAAATAAATTATCTAAAAGACCTGTTTTTATTGTTGTTATGTGCCACTGAGTTGCAACCCTTCTTGGGTTTCCGAGGTAGTATCACTACAGAAGTAGATTGCCCAACCTTCCTCCCAAGGAGTGGCTGATGTAAAAGACCTATTTCTCATTATTCTAAAACTAAATTCTGTGATGGTAACTTTATCACTAAATCCATGGACTGTTACATTCCCTGAGTGTCTTATTTACATCTAAATCCCATGTGCCAAGCACAGCTTCTGGTTCATAGTAGGTATTTGATTATTATCTACTGAAGTAATTAATATGGAAATGTTGTGGTGTTGTTGCTGTTATTTACCATCGAGTGGGACCCAACTCATAGCGACCCCTCCTTGGGTTTCCGAGGCAGCATCACTACTCTCTAAGAAAGCAGTCATTGTCTATTCTTTCACTTTTAGAACAAGCATAATCCTAAAATCAGACCATAAATTTTAGTATTCATATTTCTCAAACAAACTACAATCTATAGCCTTTCTTCCTCTTATCATCTTTAAAAAGATACAGAGAAAACAAAATCTCTTTTATATAATCAATTTCCGTTTTAATTCTCTAGTGCTGCTATAACTGAAATACCACAAATAGATGGCTTTAACAAACAGGAACTCTTACAGTTTAGGAGGCTAGAAGTCTGAGTTCAAAATGCCAGCTCCAAGGGCTGGGTTGAAGGCCCCTCGATCTTGGGCTTCAGCTCTTCCTCCTGTTCCAAGCCCACTAGAGCTGGAGGCTTTTTCTGACTCATGAAGCTGCTGGCTGCTGAGGCTCACAAACCCAATATCAACAAGTAAAATGGCACAGTCCGGGGATTAGCAAGCAACATAGCATGCCTCAAGTTCAAGTCCAGAAAGTCCTAAGACCAGCAGGCAACATGGCAGGCCACTGAAGACTCAGCCAAATACAGGATCCAAATGTGCCAAGAAGCTAAAGACCTTTCTTAAAGAGTCTTCTTATATCCTGGAAGCAGGCCACATCCACAAAGCAACTAATTAGCTGTTCACAGCAGAATCCACCATGGAGTAGATTACACCACATTCAATCTCATCATAGCATCCAGCTTCTCAGCCACTCAAAACCATGGCTCAGCCAAGTTGACATACAACCTTAACTACCACAACTCCCAAAATGGAAACTGGTATTTACTAGAACCAACAGAATCAAACCCACATAAGTATGCAAGCACTACCAAGACCAAACCCACTGCTGTGGAGTCAATTCTGACTCACAGTAACCCTGCAGGACAGCGCAGAACTGCCCGAGAGGCCTTCCAAGACTATAAATCTTTACAGAAGCAGACTGTCACATCTTTTTCCCACAGAGCAGCTTTTGGGTTCAAACTCCCAACCTCTCAGTTCACAGCTGAGCACTTACCCACTGCACCACCAGGGCTCCTTACAAGCTCTAAAAAACTCACCACCATCAAGTCAATCTCGACTCATCATGACCCCTCCCTTGGGTTTCTGAGGCAGTATCTCTATGGAAGTAGATTGCCTCATCTTCCTTCTGAGGAGTGGCTGGTGGATTTGAACCACCAGCCTTCTGGTTAACAGTCAAATGCCTTAGGCACTATGCCACCAGAGCTCCCTACAAGCACTTGGGAGTACATAATCATTATAGGTGCAATTCTTAGCTACAAGTTAATTTTCAATAAACTCAGTTTTAAATTGAATATACTTACGTTCTCTGTATTCTATTTCTGCTTCTTTACGGAGTTTTTTCTCTCTGGCAAGAGCTTCAGGGCTTCCCCAAACTTCTAAAGATCTGTGTATACACACATAGCCACCAACAATGACTTTATTATAATGTTTTATTTTTATATTTTAATGACTTTATTACAGCCATATTTAAATCTAAATGAAATATTTGATAGATTAAATTATCTTTAACAACCAGCTGTAAAATCCAGTAATACTGAGAATCTTACAACAAAGCATAATGACCTTTGGGAAAATATAAAACTCTTAAGCAACTTTTCTAAATTACATCTAAACATAAAAGTAAGTTCAACAACCAATTTTCTTATAAGTTATAACACATTTTTGATTAACTTATATATACCAATAAGTTCCAAACAATAAATTTTCAAATTAAAAAGAACTCACTGGTTTTAAAATGTGTCACCTTAAAAATTCTCAATCTATCTGTCTAAATGTATTTTTATTCATCACAAATTTGACTTGTACTTTCATTCTAAAAGAATTATGTTCTTACTTTGCCTCCACATCTGACCTCAAGTATACAGTAAAGGACTCAGTATCTTCATGTGGACTTCGTCGTCTGATTTTTCGAAGTTGTTCTAGATCACTGGAGAAAGGAACGTGGTGCATTTATTCAGGTAGTCCAAGGCTCATACAGCTTACAAACTTAAAAGGACTGCTGAAGGCAGGTAAAAAAAATAAGCAAGTATACTGATGCTCATCATCAAAGAATACAGATCTGCATTTCTATCCACACATATAATAGGGTACAATAGGAGGCACAGTTAGGGAAACTTCTTAAACATAACCAAACGCCTTAAGGGTCTGAGCTACTGGGCTTAAAGACTAAGGACTATAGTCTCAGGGGATATCTAGGTCAACTGGCATAACGCAGTTCATAAATATGTTCTACACCTACATCCACATCCTGTTGCTGTTGTTGTTATGTGCCATTGAGTCAGACCCGACCCATAGCGACCCCTCCTTGGGTTTCCTAGGTACTATCACTATGGAAGTAGATTGCCCAACCTTCCTTCCAAGGAGTGGCTGGTGGGTTTGAACCACCAGCCTTCTGGTTAGCAGTCAAATGCCTTAGGCACTATGCTACCAGAGCTCCTCATCTACATCCTAGTGGGGTGTTAAAAGCTTGCAACCAGCCAGCTAAGATACAATTACTAGTCTCTCCCTGTCTGGAGTAAAGGAGAATAAAGAAAACAGAAGTCAAGGAAGCAATTAGTTCATAGGACTCATGGCCTACATGAACCATAACCTCCTCTAATCCGAGAGCAGAACCAGATGGTGCCCGGCCACCACTACAATCGCTCTGATCAGGAATACAATAGAAGGTCCTGGTTAGAAAGGGTGAAAAATGTAGAACAATATTCAAACTCATAAAAAAGACCAAACTTACTGGTCTGGCATAGACTAGAGGAACCCTCAAAACTACCATCAAAAGACAGCCTTCTAACTTGGAACTGAAGCCACTCTTGGAGACCACTTTTCAGCCAAATAATAGACTAACCTATAAAATAAACAACAATACTTGGGTGGAATGTGCTCCTTAGAACAACTAACATTAAGAGACCAAAATGCAACATCTGCCCAAAAGCAAAGATTAGAAGGTAGGCAGGGGCAGGGAACTATACGAATAAAAATGGGGAAGCAACAGAAGATATAGGGAGAGTGGTAACATATTGCAGGGATCACAACCAATGTTATGGAACAATCTGTGCATGAATTATTGAATGGAAAATTAATTTGCTATGTAAACTTTCACCTGAGCACAATAAAATGATAAAAATATATATAAACACATCTGAATCATTTTAAAACTTAAGTTTAAAGATGGCATTTTATACACAGAAATTGGTTTACAGACAGTGAGGAAAATAAATAAAAATTAAACCCTTCTTAATGCTCAACACAGATACTATAACATGTAGATTCAATTTCCTCCTCAGTGCTTTTATTTTACCTGCTATGAGCTCACTGTTGCAATCGTCGATATACAAACAAAAGACGAAAAGTGGAAAGAACATAGGTTTTTAAAGTGTCATCCTTCTATTTAAGCATTTAAATGAAAAATTCAGACATATTTATTAATAACCAAATTAATAGTAAATGGTAATACAAATTCATAAGTATCAAGTGATAAAAGGTAAATGTCAATTTCATGCTATTTCATTATTTTCCTTTCTATTAAATTTTGAAAGCTTTGTATCTTCATCAAGTCACTGCTAAACAGTCTTTTTACATTTAATCACTGGTTTTCCTCAAGATCTCTGAAACTGCAATGAAAAGAAATATAAATCTGGTGACTATGGAATGTTACTAAAAAACCAGACCAACTGTCATTGAATCAATTCTGACTCATGGTTGACACCAAGTATGTCAGAATAAAATTGTGTTCTATAGGGTTTTCAATGCCTGATTTTTCAGAGTAGATTGCCAGGCCTTTCTTCCAAGGTGCCTGTGGTAGACCTGAACTACCAACCTTTCAATTAGCAGTCAAGTGTGTTAACTGCTTACACTACCTAGGGAATCCAAAGAAAGTTACTAAGTTCTAGAAATTAAACCTGGATTTAAAAAAAAAAAAAAAAATCACTAACTCTAATAGGTTAGTAAAAATTTTAGACCAGATATCAAAAGGTAGTATTCTACTTCCTTCTTTGTCACTGCACTCACTAATGCACTGTATTTCCTGGCCTATAATATAGAAATAGCAATACATGGCTCAATTCACAGAATTTCTGTGAGCACTGAAAGAAATAATCCAATGTTAAAAAGATTTGAATAGATTATAGTTTTATATCAATGTTATTATTGGTTATTGTTTTAATTACAAAAGTTATAAAACTGATTACATGAATTGTTATTTCTGGGTAATATACCATGGAAAATGCAACCATAAAGGAAGGGGAGACAAAAAGCCTACATCACTGATCTCTCTAATTAGCAAGAAATTGTTCACAAAAATATAGCTTTTCTAGGTAAGCTCTCAATTTAGTAAGTTAACATTTTTAACTGAATAAAACTGTTTCTTCATTTCAAAAAGGAGCCAGTGGGAAAGTTTCTGCACATGGATGGGAGCAGGTAATACATACCCATTGCCATCAAGTCAATTCTGACTCACAGCAACCTTGTAAGGAAAGAGCCTAACTGCCCTAGAAGGTTTCCAAGGCTCTGTGTAGACTGCCATGTCTTTCTCCTACAGAGTAGCTGGTGGGTTTAAAATGCCAACCTTTCAGTGAGCAGTCAAGCACTTAACCACCAGGTCTCATAAGGTAATACATATTGATATGAATGGTTACTTACCAGGGGTGGGAGAGAAGAAGAAAAAGGGAATCGCTGTTTAAGAAGTTGTGAGTTTCTGTTTATAGTGATGGAAAATTTGGAAACAATTATTGGTGAAGGTTGTGCAATGTGATAAATATAACTGATATCAATAAATTGTAAACACGAAAAATTCTGAGCTGGCAAATGTGTTATATTTATTTTTACAACAATGAAAAACAAAGAAATGGTTATTAAGATAGGGTGAACTATTTTTTAAAAAATTACTTACTGTACCTGGATTTGAGGCAGAACTCATTGATTGCTCTGACACCAGTGATGAAGTTATTCTGAGTGTACTTTGGTCCATACTCCCTCTTTTTAAGGACTGCCTTGACTAAAACAGAAAACACATCAAATAACGCACATTAAATTCCCATTTCTGATACCCAAATGGGTTCACTCATGAAATCCACAGAAAATTGACCTTTTTGCTGATGCAATGAATGGGATCAGGAAAAACTAATTCTCCAATACAAAGCAGTCATCTAGCTTTTATTTTCATAGTTCATCAGTAACTCATGCCAAAATACTAATCTTTTGTCTCTAATGGACACCTTTTATAGGTGTCATTGGTTATGTCTAAATTGAATTAATACAATTTAACTTCCTCAGGGTCTGTTAGGGTTTTCAGTTAGAAAATTAACTGGTATTAAATAAAAAACTATAGAGTAATTCAGTGTTTTACAAACTCTGGGGTGACATTAGCATTTTATAAAAAAATGAAAAGAGAAAGCAATCAAAGAATATTGTATGTAATTAAGAATAAATGCTTTGTGTGAAAACATTCGTTTCAGATATATACATACAATAATCTATGTGTGCCCTAGAGATCATTAAATAAAACATATTTCTTATGCAGCTTGAAGTCAAAAAAGTTTGAAAGTCACTGGACTATTTCATATCATGGTAACAAAGCTGAAGCAAACTAAAGAATATTTTTTATCAGCTAAAAATTACTGAAGGGTTGAAATGGCAAATATTTTGTTTTATTTTCTTTTACTACAATAAAAAAAATTATAGAAAGTTTATTACAGACTATAAGCAGAATATTGTCCTCTACTATTTCCCTATTGACAAGTACCAAAGATGCTTATAAAATGTGCACCAGAAACACCAATAATAAAAATCAGTCTGGCATCAATAATAGTCTGTGAGTCAAAAATTACACTCAACAATGGTCTGTTGTTATGCTTTTAAATCATTATAATGTAAAACTTTTGGTCACATGATACAGATAAATGACATAAGCAAACATTTGAAGAGCTAGACCAAAACAATAGAAACCAGTGTGCTCTATTTATTTCAAATTGTCACCCACTCACTACATATATTATTCTCATATCTATTAATTTATGAGTTTTCTGCACTGCTTCAAAGTTGAAAAAGCAAAATGAGCCTAAAATTACTGATTACTAGAATGTGTAAAAAGACTGCTAAAATAACACATTATCTACTAAAATCAAAAGTACAACTACATAATAAGAACTTTCAAAAATAAAGTTCAGTATAAAAATTGAAACCTTATTTGAAAAAAGGTATATAAAGAAGTTCAGATTTTTTACATGAATTTCAAATCTAAACTGTCTTATCCAATAACTTTGAAACACAGAATCCACATGAACTCCTTTAGAACAGAGAGAAAAGTGACATCTCTCCTTACAAAGATCAGCTTTTAAAAATTCATTCAGTTTTTAAAAATCCCTGTTGGTTTATCTTGGCACAAATTATTGATGCTGATGATAATTGTTATCCCAATATCAATTAGTCTTAATTTTAACTGACCTATGTGTTTTCTTCAAAAGTACCCCTAGAAAAGAGATTCTACTTTTAGCACCATTTTATGATGAAAACATTAAGACTCAGAGTGGTCAAATAAACCCCCAAGGTCACACTTAGTAAGTACTAGGGCCACAAGCTGAACCCAGATTTGTCTGACCCCAAAGTAATGGTACCATATATCACATAGATTTACTGCCTTCATGAAATGCTCTGCCTTAGAGAGGGGAGCCATAGCTCTTTATAAAGCACAGGGCTGCAAACAGGGATTTCTTTAGCACTCAATGATCCTGAAAAAGAAAGTAAGAATGTCCAAACCACCTGGATTTGAAAAAGCTACAGCCAAGAAGGGCTGGACTTCTTGTTCTTTATTCACATTATTTTTCTAAAAATGATAAAGCAATGGATAGCTTTTATTTGGCCATTACTTCTCTCTTTGAGCTGAAAAAACAATTACCACAAAATCTGTTGCCAAAATGCAAAATAAACTTCAATGAAAAATTAGCTTATGAGAACCAAATTATCTAACCTTACATAACAGAATCAGAAAGACTTTATTACAAGCTAATTTAGTATACTGTATTCAAGACATTAATTTAAAAAAATAGAATATATTTACCTCTTACTTGGAGAGGTTCTTGCTTAATAAGTGGAGCTTTGAGTTCCGCACCCATATTTCCTGCTGTAGAATTTATGAAAAATGCTTACATTATACCAGTTTAAACAGCAATTTTCTGACATACCTATAAAATCACTGAATATTGGCTACGTTAACCTAGTAATGCCTACAAAAGATATAAATCGCAGACCAATTGGATTCACCCCAGAAATGCAAGAGTAATTAAACGTTGTTGTTGTCATGTGCTGTTGAGTCGGACCAGACTCATAGCAACCCTTCCTTGGGCTTCCGAGGCGGTATCACTACGAAGTAGATTGCCCAACCTTCCTTCCGAGGAGTGCCTGGTGGGTTTGAACCGCCAGCCCTCTGGTTAGCAGTCAAGTGCCTTAGCCACTATGCTACCAGACCTCCCAATTAGGAAATCTATTTATTTCCCTCATTAACATATTAAAGGAGCAAAATATAGGATCATTTCAAGAGCTGCAGGAAAAGCATTTATAAAATTCACCATCAGTGCAAGTTTTAAGTTCTTTTAGAAAATTAGGGAAAAGAAGGGAATTTCCCTAGAGGGTAAAACAAATGAATAATGGACGTAGTATTCAAGGGTGAAACTACATGTGTTACCTTTAAAATAAAAAAAAAACAACATGGATTCATACTATCAGTTCATCTACTCAAAACTGTTCTAGAGATATGATTCAGTGCATAAATGATGACTATTACAGTGCTGGGACATCTGTATAACCTCTCACTACTTTGCAAAAAATTAGTGAATTAAAAGAAGGCAGCAATACTTTAGTGATAGAAGTCTGCCTTCCATTCAGGAGACCTGGGTTCGATTTGCAGCCAATGATCCTCCTGCACAGTCACCACTCATTTGTCAATGAAGGCTTGCATGTTGCTATTATGATACTGAACAAGTTGCAGCGGAGCTTCCCAACTAAGACAAACCAGGAAAAAGGCCTGGCAATCTACTTCCAAAAAGCAGCTAATGAAAACACTATGGCTCATAATGGTCCAACTCCATTAGGCATGGAATAGTCACTATGAGTGAGGGACCAAGTCAAAGACAGTTAACAACAACAAATAAAATTAAAAAAAAAAAAAATTGGAATGTACCAGTTTACACCATAAATGAAACCAATTTCAGATAAATTAATGACTTCAGTAAAAGATATTTACCTTCCTTATAAAAAACAACAGGTGCTCTGGTGGCATAGTGCCTAAGGCTGGCAGTTCAAACCCATCAGCCACTCCTCGGAAGGAAGACTGGGCAAGCTACTTCGGCAGAGATACCACATGGGAAACCCAAGGAGGAGTCGCCTTGAGTAGGGATCAGACTCAAAGGCAGTGAGTTTGAGAAAAGAATATCCTTACAACTGGGCCAATAAGCAACATTCTGATAAAAGGAGAAAAGACTGAAGTTGTCAAAGATATCATTTTACTTGGATCCACAATCAACATCCAAGGAAGCAACAATGAAAAAATCAGGCAACATATTGCACTGGGCAAAACTGCTGCAAAGGACCTCTTTAAAGTACTTAAGAGCAAAGATGTCACTTTGAAGACTAAAGTTCGTCTGACCTAACATATATTCAATAGCTTCATATGCATGTGAGAGCTGGACAGTGAATAAGGAAGACCACAGAAAAATTGATACTTTTGAACTGTGATGTTGGTGAAGAATACTGAAGGTACCATGAACTGCTAGAAGAATGAACAAATCTGTCTTGGAGGAAGTAAAGCCAGAATGCCAGACATTGTCTCTCATACTTTGGTCATGTTTTAGAAGGGACCAGTCGTAGAGAAGGATATCATGCTGGGTAAAGCGGAAAGTCAGCAAAAAAGAGGAAGACCCTCAACAAGATAGACTGATGCAGTGGCTGCAACGATGGGCTCAAGCATGGCAAGGATTGTGAGGATGATGCAGGACCAGGCATTGTTTTGTTATGTTGGACACAGGGTCACTGTGAGTCAGGACTGACTCAACAGCACCCAACAACAACAACACAGAAGACAATATAGAGTATTTTTATGGTAGGAATAGGTAGATTTCTCAAAAAAGATACAAAGGGTAAAAAAGGATAAATTTTGTTAAATTAAAAAAAAAGAACATCTGTCATCGAAGGATCTCATTTAAAAAAAAAAAAAAAAAGCCTCAAACTGGGAGATGACATTTCCAACACATAAGATCAACAAAGGACTAATATCAAGAATATTTAAACAATTCCTTCAGATTAGTAAGAAAAAGACAAAAAATCCTTTAGAGAAAAATTGGCAGAAGAACAAATTAGCACAGAAAACAAAATACAAATCACCAATAAACGTGTAAAAAAGTGACTGCCTCATTGTTAATAGAATCCAATGAAACCACAAGATGTCATTTAACAGCCATTAGATTAGGAAAAACTTACACACACACACACACACACACACACACAACGCCTAGTATTGGCAAGAGTGTGATGAAACAGAAATGTACACACTGCTGCTGGGATGTTAAACAGGTATAATTACTTTGGTAAATAAGTTGGCATTATCTAGTAGAGTAGAATATAAGCATAACTCATGGCCCAGCAATTCTATTTCTAGGTCAATATACTTGGCTTAAGGAGCTTGGGTGGTGTAGCGCCTAAGGCATCTGACTGCTAACCAGCCACTCCACAGAAGGAAGACTGACAAAATCTTCTGTAAAGATTTACTCAGAAACCCAAAGAGGGTTGCTATGAGTTGAAACCCAAAGAGGGTTGCTGTGAGTTGGAATTGACTCAATAACACTGAGTTTGGTTTTGGTTTATATTGGCTTAGAGGAGCACAAGGACACAAGGAGACAGGTACATGAAAGTTCAGAACAGCACTGTGTTCTGCTGTTACAAACCTGAAAGACCCTGAATGTTCAGTAAAACAGATAAGTAAATCATGTTATACTCATGCAAAAAAATTTCATATACCAGTAACTAATAAAAAAAAAATAATAACTATCTTTGAACCCTTACTATGTGCCAAACACTGTTCTAAGCATTTGACATGTTCAACTCATTTAACTCACTCACAACCTCAAAAAGTATGTGCTGTAATTATTTGAAAATGAACAAACTAAACATACACACCAGTAACTCACTATCATCAAGTCAATTCTGATTCATAGCGACCCACAGTAGAACTGGTTTCCAAGCCTATAAATCTTTATGGAAGCAGACTACCTCTTCTTTGTGCCTCAGAGCGGCTGGTAGGTTCAAATTGCTGACCTTCTGGTTGGCAGCTGATGTATTAACCACCATGCCAAAAGAACTCCAGTTGTTAGGACAAATCTTAGTAGCAAAATTTAATGAAAATTACAGAAAATATGTACAATAAGCTATAACAATAAAGTTCAAAAACAAGCTATTCGGACATATACATATGTGTAAACTATATATTTTGTTTTTAATTGAGACTAAAACTCAAAATTCAGAATCATCATAAGGATACTTGGGACAAAGGGGAAATGAGGAGGATGTGATTAGAGAAAAAAAATCTTTTAAGGTGTTTGTTTTTTATGTTTTCGAATTCACAATATACATTGTCTATACAGCAGAGGAAGTGGCAATAACATCTGACTTTCAGCAGGAGACGGAGTAGAGAATTGAAGCAAGGGAAGGTTTTTTATGGAGAGAGGGAAATGATGTAGTAAAGACAGTAACTGCTGGTGTAGATTAAGAGAATAATCACAGAAGCCAAGTCCTTGAGCAGATGAGATAGTAGGAAATCCAAAATACAAGGGAAGTCTCTGAAACCTTGTAATGAAATGAACTGTTTCCACATATCTAGACTATGAGTGCATTTAAACAATATGCAATGCCATGAAATCTGACTGATCCCTTGATTAGTGAAACATTTCAACTTCCATTTTACTGATTCTTCTCAGTTTACCATTTTTTTCTTTACGTTTATTATTTTGTCTTTCTTGACATTTGATTAAATCCTTCTTCCACCCAACCCCCCAAGCTGGTTTGGAAGTTAAGCAATTATCTTTCTGTGGTTTTAATGGTTCTACTAAAAAATTTAACATAGAAATTCCCTATAAATCACTCTAACTTTCTGGACCATCCATCATTCAGTATCTCTATCTTCCCACGGAACAAGAAAAAGATTTCAGCTACTGAAAATGTCCAGTATCTTATTACTCTTGACTACAGTTTTAGCTTCAAATACAAAAAAAACACAATTTATTATTTTCCCATTTTATCTGTATCTTGCTCTCTAAGGTCTTTTATAACTCATTCCTCTTTATCTCTGGGTTTACTCTCCATCTTAACAGAAGTACACACTTTTTTTAAAAAAAAAAAAAAACTTTTTATTGATTTGGATGAAATTTTACAAGCAGATTGGTTTTACACTCAACAGTTCCTACACATTTTGTTTTGACACTGGTTACATTCCTCACAGTGTAACAGCTCCCACTTCCTCCTTCTGATTACCCTTTCCCAGTGTCCTTCCTGCCTATGCATTCCTATCTCGCTGCCTTTGTCCCTGTACAAACGCTGCCCTTCTGATGTCCCATGGTTGATTGTTCTAAAGAGTACATCCCCCTGGTGTAGTTGTTCAGATCATAGGCCTGTCTACTGTTTGGCTAAGAGTTAAGTCACAGGAGTGGGTTCGATTCCAGAACCGAACGATGACTCAGTGCCATAGCCTCAGGGGTTTCACCAGTCTTTATTAGAACAAGTAAACCTGGTCTTCTTTATGATTTTGAGTTTTGTTCTGTATTTTTCTCCCCCTCTATCCAGGATTTCCAATTCTGATCCCTTGCCAAGCAGTTGGCACTGATAGCCAGGCACCCTCTAGTTGTTCTGGTCTCAGTGTCATATAGGCTGAGGTTCTCGTGGTCCATTAGACCTTTGGACTGGTTCCATATGTCTTTGATTTTCTTCACTCTTCTCTGCACTGCACAAGAGACCAATAGTTGCATCTTAGATGACTTGCTCGTAAGCTTTTAAGACTCCAAGTCACTAGTCACTGAAGTTAGATGTAGAACAATATTTTTGTATACTATGTTGTGCCAATTGAGCTTGATGTCTCCC